GTATTTAAAAGGGAGCAAAACATATTTAAAACTTTAAAATATATGAGATTGTTATTCATTAAGTTAAGAGTCTAATTGTTTAAAGAGGTATAGTCAGTTAAATGTGAGTTAATGAAACATTAATTAAGAAAAGGTAAAGACAATTGTTATTTTAATAGAGTTTATAGATAAAATTATTAGATTTTTAATGGCCTTAAAACTGAATGCAAACTGGGTTTTTAAATCGGTCACTTTAATAAAACGAGTATTAATTTCAAAACCAAGCGATTGCATTTTTCTACTCACAAAAATCTCTTAGACATCAAAATCTTTCACACTGGTTCCTCACTTTTGAAAGATTCCCCCTATCACATGTTTATGGAATTGGTTAATTACAACCAAAGCAAATTTCTTTAGAGGCTTTTTCTTTTAATAGAATGAAATTGACAAAATTCTCCAAGAGTTGCTAAAAACCAAGATTTGCTAACAAGGAAAGATAATAAATGGAATTGATGAAATGAGATAGTTCACAGGCATGACTAACATCTGTGAGAAATACATTTTTGAAAATGTAAAAGCAGAAGGAGAAAGAAGCATTTTTTTTTCAAATGATTAGTAATTGTGTTACCGAAGAGGCAATACATGAACCTAAAAGTTCTAAAATATCCTGTCTCTCCCACAAGAACATAGATTTTGGAGGAATTATTTCTTTGAGTTTGTATAATTAACAGACTAAGACAGAAGAACACATAAGTGATAAAAATGAATTAAATAACATGAAAAAAAAAAACCCTCAGACTTTTCCCCTTTCTGTACCACTTCAAAGAATAAGGGCTCATAATTGGATGATTTGGCAACATATCCCAGTCTTCGCAAATTCATGTCCCTTGCTGTATCCATTTGATGTTCAAATCATGACTCTTCTGCAGATTTCTTCTACTTGACCCTGCCTTAAACCTTCATCTTTTTTTATCTTTTTTTTTGGTTTTATCAACTTTTTTGAGGTATAATTTACATATAATAAACAGCATCCATTGAAGTGTATTATTTGATGAGTTTTGACAAATGTGTACCCTTGTGAACACCACCATAATCAAAATCTAGAGGATTTCCAACATCCCCCAAATTTCTCTCCTTCCCCTTTGCAAGTAATCCCCCATGGACGCAGGGGGTCTTAGAGTTTGATATAACTAGAATCATATAGTATAACAGTGTTTCATTTCTGGATTCTTTCTGCTCAGCATAATGTTTCTAAGATTTATTTGTTTTTGTGTATCAGGGCTCATTCCTTTTTATTAGTGATATTCCATTGTATATATATCATTCATCAGCTGATTGATATTTGGGTTGTTTCCAATTTTTTAAAAAATTATGAATACAGATGCTACAAACATTCTTTGTGTGAAAATAGATGATTGGCCTTGAGTAAATAAATAACTACAAATGGAATTGCTGGTCACCCAGTAGGTATAACTTTCTAAAGTGCTAAAATTTTTCCATATTGGATATATCATTTTACATTTCCTCCAGCAGTGTATGAAAGTTCCAGTTGTTTCATGTCCTTGCTAACACATAGTGCTATCAGTCTTTCATTTATAGCCATTCTAAAGGGCATTAGGCGATAATTCATTATAATTATAATTTGCATTTCCTTGATGACTGGAGATGTTGCACATATTTCTGTGTGCTTTTTGGTCAATTGTATCTTATTATGCAAAATGTCTTTTCAAATCTATTGCACACTTTTTATTGGGTTGTGTTATTATTAAGTTGTAGGAGTTCTTCATATACTCTGAGTACCAGTCCTTTGTCAGATATGTATATTATAAATATTTTCTGCCTTATTAATTGTCTTTTCATCTTCTTTTTGGTATCTCTCAAAGGTTTTAATTCTGACAAAGTCAAAGTGTTCCCTGAAGCTTTTGTGTAAATGAAGTGTATAGCTGCTGCTATGGGTCAAGTACTAGGAAGCTTCATAGTTCTATAAAGTGATTTAAATTGGCTGAAGCCGTGGGAGAGCTGGACAGCAACATGCAGAAGAATGAAACTAGATCATTTTCTCACACCATGCACAAAAATAAACTCAAAATGGATAAAGGACATGAACGTGAGACAGGAAACCATCAACACCCTAGAGGAGAAAGCAGGAAACAACCTCCTTGACCTCCACCGCAGCAACTTCTTACTTGACACATCCCCAAAAGCAAGGGAATCAAGAGCAAAAATAAACGATTGGGACCTCATCAAGATTAAAAGCTTCTGCACAGCAAAGAAAACAACCCACAAAACTAACAGGCAACCAACGGAATCAGCAAAGATAGTTGCAAATGACATATCAGATAAAGGGTTAATATCCAAAATCTATAAGGAACTCACCAAACTCCACACCCAAAAAACAAAAAACCCAGTGAAGAAATGGGCAGAAGATATGAACAGACACTTCTCCAAAGACGACATCCAGATAGCCAACAGACACATGAAACGATGCTCAGCATCCCTCCTCATCAGGGAAATACAAATCAAAACCACACTGAGATACCATCTCACGCCAGTCAGAGTGGCTAAAATGAGCAAATCAGAAAACTCTAGATGCTGGCGAGGATGTGGAGAAACGGGCACCCTCCTACACTGTTGGTGGGAATGTAAACGGGTGCAGCCCCTCCGGAAAACAGTGTGGAGGTTCCTCAGGAAACTAACAATAGAACTCCCCTATGACCCAGCAATAGCACTGCTAGGAATTTACCCAAGGGTTACAGAAATGCTGATGCATAGGAGCACATGTACCCCAATGTTCATAGCAGCATTCTCCACAATAGCTAAAACATGGAAAGAGCCTAAGTGTCCATCAATGGACGAATGGATCAAGAAGATGTGGTTTATCTATACCATGGAATACTACCTGGCAATGGGAAACAATGAAATCTGGCCATGTGTAGCCACGTGGATGGACCTTGAGGGTGTTATGCTGAGTGAAATAAGTCAGGCAGAGAAGGACAAATATCATATGTTTGCACGTATAGGAGGATTAGGAGGAACTTAACTGAGGAACAAGGGGGAGTAGAAAGGGGGAAATGGTGGGGGAAAGGGAGAGAGGCAAGCCATGACAGACTCTTGAATGCTGACAAAAACTGAGGACTGATGGATGTGGGGGGGAGGGGAGATAGGCATGGAGGAGGGCACTCGTGGGGATGAGCACTGGGTGTTATGTGGAAACTAATTTGAAATAAACTATGTGTAAAAAATAAAAATAAAAAATATATATATAAAAAAAGAAGAGACTGTTAAAAAAATAAATTGGCTGAAGCCTGAATATAGGTATTTTACTGACTTTTTATTAAATTCACCCTACATTTGTACTTTTGATCTTCCTGTGCATGGAAATGTCATGTTTTACAGGATATGTGTGTATTTTAGAAATAAAATTTAGAGAATAAAGTATAAAGAATAGTAAAAGGAACACTCGTGTACCCAATGCCCAGCTAAATAAACAGAACATTATCAATGCAATTAAACTTTAGCTCTCTGTGTACTTCTCCCCATTTGTATTTCACTCTTCCCCACAAGGTAAAGTATTTGTACTATTTTGATTTTGGTGTTTTTATTCTGTTGCTTTTCATTATAATTTCATTTCACATGTATAAAGTATTAAATAATAAGACTTACTTTCTTGTGACTTTATTAATGCATTAAAATTCTTATTAGTTATAATGTATTCAGTTCTAGGTGTTTTGTGGTAAAGAGGATTCTCAGAATATCTCTGCTGCTATACAGCTAGATTTTTTAAAAACAGCTTTATTGAGATATAACTCACATGTCAGACCACAACTCCAGAGTATAGAATTCAATGGTTTTTAGTATATTCACAGAGTTGCACAGAGTTGTGCAATCACTTTCGCAATGTAATTTTAGAGTATTTTTATCCCCCGCCTCCCCAAATACTGTATCAATTAGCAGTCTATTTTCCCTGGCCTTCCAGCATTAGGCAACCTCTAACCTACCCTCTGCCTCTAAAGATCTTCCTGTTTGGGATATTTCATATAAATAGAATCATACAATCTGTCATCCTTTGTGACCTGCTTTGTTCACTTAACATAATGTTTTCAACATTCATCCATGCGGTAGCATCCATTAGTACTTCATTCCCATTTATGGCTGAATACTATACCATTATCTGAATATAATATATTTTCTTTATGCATTCATAAGTTGAGGAAAAATGCTGTAATATACAATTTTCTGTTTTCAATTATTAATAGAGTAGTAGAATTGGTAAGTCATATGGTAACTCCATATTTAACTTTCTGAATAACTGCCAAGCTGTTTTCCAAAGTGGCTGCACCATTCCTTACCAGCAATGAGGAATGAGGGTTCCAATTTCTCCATATGCTTACCAAAAATTGTTATTGTCTGTCTTTTTAATTTTAGCTATTATAATGGGTTTGAAGTGGTATTTCATTGTGGTTTTAATGTGCATTTTCCTGATAGTTAATTTTGTTGAGTGTCTTCATGGGCTAATTTGCTATTTATATATCTTCTTTGGACACATGTGTATTCAGATCTATTCCTCATTAAAAATGTATTATTTTTCTTTTTATTATTGAGTTGTAAGACTTCTTTATATATTCTGGACACAAGTTCCTTATCAGACATATGACTTACAAATATTTTCTTCCATTTTCTGAGTTGTTTTTTTGCTTACTTGATGGTATTGTTTGTAGCACAAATGTTTTAAATTTTGACCAAATCCTATCGCTTCTCAGCCTTTTGGCTAAGATCAAGTGTAGTAAATTTTGATCAAATCCAATTTATCTATTTTTTCTTTTTTCATTTGTGCTTTTGGTGTGGTATCTAAGAAATCACTGTCTAATCCAAGATCAGGCAGATTTATACTTGTGTTTTCTTCTCAGAGTTTTATAGTTTCAGCTCCAAAATTTAGGTCTGTAGCTTAAGGATGAGATCCAATTCCATTCTTTTGCACACGGATATACAGTTTTCCCAGAATCATTTGTTGAAAAGACTACCTGTTTATTAATTGTCTTGGAAGCTCAGCCAGTTTTTTTTTTTTTTTATTACGTGAAGACCTTATCTTCATCTCCTCAGATTTCTATAGAAAGAGGGTCCTTCATCTCTTCTCTTCAAGATGTTTTATGAGGGTGGGCATGTCTGTTTTCTTCTTCCATCCCTCCATTGCTTTTTACAGGGAAAGAAAAAATTCAGTTAATCAAAGAGCAGACAATAGTTACTTACCCTGACCCCATTTTCTAAAGTGGCACCTTTCAATAGTTTTAAGATAATACGTTGTTCAGCCAATTTCTGTGACAAAAAAAAAAAAGATTTTGTTGAAGCAATGTCACAGACTCTGAAACAAATAGGGAAGACATCAGAAGGTGGCACCTTTTTGCTATGTGCCTCTCCCACAGCCAGGGAAGGCAGATGAAATTCTGACACCTGACCACCTTTCCCCACACTGATTGCTCTCACTGACCACTTCTTATTTAGTTTTCCTTGTATATCCAATCCCTGGGTGATAAGACTGCCAACAAGCATGTCTCCCCCCACTCAAGTTTTCCAGCTTGCACTCTGATGGGTAAGGTAACTAGTTTTCTTCAGTTTGGGGAGTCTCAGGTCCAAACTACCTACAATCCAGCTTCTCCAATACAGCTCTACTAATGAAGGCTGTTCTTTCAGTAATTAATGATACCTTGATTTAGGTGAAGGTGATTAAGAGGCACAAACTTCAAGTTATAAACAAAGAAGTCACAGAGATGAAAAGTACAACGTAGGAAATATAGTCAATAATACTATAATACCTTTGTACGGTGACAGATGGTAGGTACACTTATGGTGATCATTTCATAATGTATATAATTGACAAATCACTATGTTGCACCTGAAACTAATATAATATTGTATGTCAACTATAATTCAATTTAAAAAACTAAGTGGGGCGTTTGGGTGGCTCAGTTGGTTAAGCATCCAACATTGGCTCAGGTCATAATCTCAAGGGGCTCGTGAGTTCAAGCCCTGCAACGGGCTCTGTGCTGACAGCTCAGAGCCTGGAGCCTGCTTTGGATTCTGTGTGTGTACGTCTCTCTCTCTACCCCTCCTGCACTCATGCTCTGTGTCTCTCTGTGTCTCAAAAATAAATAAACGTTAACAAAAATTTAAGTAATAAATGCCTTTATTTCTATTTGGCTATTTATCTCTGTTTACATGAAATTCAGAACGGAAGAAGAAGGAGCAACAGGCATTTCCAGATTGTCAATATTTTTATTTCATTCAGTTATACATTCTTTGGATAGATTATGTATCACACATTTCTATTTCATTTTTTAAATGTTTTATTTATTTATTTAGATTAGTTTGAGAGAATCCCTAGCAGGCTCGCACAGTCAGCGTGGAGCCCAATGTGGAGTTTGATCTCATGTGAGATCATGACCAGAGCCTAAGTCAAGATGCTTAACCAGTTGAGCAACCTAGGCATCCCTATTTATTTACATTTGAACATTTTTTATAGTTTTTATTTATTTTTGAGACAGAGAGACAGAGCATGAGTGGTGGAGGGGCAGAGGGAGAGGGAGACACAGAATCTGAAGCAGGCTCCAGGCTCTGAGCTGCCAGTACAGAACCCGATGCAGGGCTAGAACCCACGAACCATGAGATCGTGACCTGAGCCAAGGTCGGACATTTAACCGACTGAGCCACCCAGGCACCCCTATTTATTTATATTTGAGAGAGCACATGTGTGTGTGCTTGTGTGGATGCATAAGTAGAAAAAGGAGAGAAAGAGAGAAATTCTAAACAGGTTCTGTGCTGCCAGCAAAGAGCTCGAACTCACCACCCATGAGATCATGACCTGAGCTGAAATCAAGTCTCTTAACTGACTGAGCCACCCAGGTGCCCTTCTTTCATTTTTTACTGGGATTTTTTGGTTGAGTTGGATTCATAACATTCATTCTATCTTAAATACATTTTCCCAATTCATTTTTTTTTTAATTTTCAAGATTTTTTTAATTTGCAAACACACTGGGTGGGGGTGAGGAGCCTGTGAAGGGTAAAGAAGTTGAAAGCAGCTTGCCTTTCATGTAAGGGCACAAAGAAAGCAGGTTGCAAGAAATGTTTTAGGAAAAAAATAATTCCCAAAAGTGTAAGACATCTATGAATTATGATTACAGCTTCAAAAGTAGGAACTTGATCTGAACCCAACGCTTGGTTCCAGAGGGGACTAGGGCAGCCGCCATTTTTCTCCCCACAACAACCAAGGTGGGACCTCAGGGCATGGCCTGTGGGTTGCAGTGGAGGGTAAGACCCACCTACACCAAATCACGCCCATCCCCACTAGAGAGCTACTTTTTTTTTTTTTTTTTTTTTTTAAACCAGAGCCTGGAGCAAGACCAACATGGATGCACTACCATGATTAATTCTAGATCAATTCTTTCTATTCAGATATATTTTCCCTTGTCTCATTCGTATTTCTCCCCTCTGCTGGACTGGACACTCTGGTCACTGGTTAGCTTAAACAGTCACATTTAATCCATTCTCTAGATGTATATTTTACACCTCCACCACTACCTTTCTATCTCTCTCTATCTGGAGTAATCAGACTATATAGTTTCTCTGAGTAACATTATCTTTGTTTCTTTTTCCTTGACTCTTACTATATTCTCCTCTTTCTCTCTCTGAATTAAGCCTCTTAGTCTCTCTGCCTGGTCATTTCTCTCCATTTTTGTTTCCTCCCTGTCCTGTCATTTCTCTTTGTATATGGTCTTCAGTTAGCAGTGCATACACCCAGCTCTTTATTTGTAGCTAGGAAGTCTGGTTTTATGCTTTTAGACTGTCCTCTGTCTTTCGTTTTTTTTTTTCTTTTTTCTTTCTTCTTTTTTATTTTTATTATTTGTTTTTCCTCCTTCCTCTTTTTTTCCTTCTTCCTTTTTTTTCATTTTCTTTTTCCCTTTTGGTTTGCGTGTTTGTTGGATTTGTCTGTGCATTTGTGTGTCTTTGTTCCCCGTGTGTTTGTCTGTCTGTTTTCTTTTCCAGGGCTACCTCAAGAAACAAGCCAAAGTACACATAGTGGAGAGTCCCAAATACCACTAAGAGTAGGGAAATAAAATAACTAAAGTCTCAACAAGAGAGACCAAGAGACACCATTCAAAGAACACTTCCTGAATGGACAGGCATTGGACAATCAAAGAGCTTTCTTTAAATGTTTTTAATGTTTTTTGATTTATTACTGAGAGAGAAAGAGAGAGAGAGACAGCGTGAGCAAGGGAGGGTCAGAGGGAGAGGGAGACACAGAATCTGAAACAGGCTCCAGGCTTTGAGCTAGCTGTCAGCACAGAGCCCGACATGGGGCCCAAACTCACGAACCATGAGATCAAGACCTGAGCCGAAGTCAGACACTTAACCGACAGAGCCACCCAGGCGCCCCACAAAGAGCCTTCTTTAATACAGCAGTACTCACAGGTGCAGAGTGCACAGCAATCTTTTAAAACTAACAAGAGACAGAAAGCTACCCAAAATGACAAAACGGAAAAACTCTCCTCTACAGAAATTCCAGGAAGAAATGACAGCTAAAGAACTGCTCAAAACAGAAATAAGCAACAGAACTGAAGAAGAATTTAGAATAGTCATAAAATTAATCACTGGGCTTGAAAAAGGCATGGAAGACATCAGGGAAGCTATTGCTACAAAGACTATGGAGCTTAAAAATAGTTGTGATGAGGGGCGCCTGGGTGGCTTAGTTGGTTAAGCGTCCGACTTTCGCTTAGGTCATGGTCTCGCGGTTCGTGGGTTCGGGCCCCGCGTCGGGCTCTGTGCTGACTGCCAGCTCAGAGCCTGGAGCCTGTTTCAGTCTGTGATTCCCTCTCTCTCTGACCCTCCCCTGCTCACGCTGTCTCTCTCTCTCTCCTAGAAATGGATAAAACATTAAAAAAAATTTTTAAAAAAAAAAAAAATAGTTGTGATGAATTTAAAAATGTTATAAATGAGATACATATTAAAATGGAGGCATCCAATGCACGGATTGAAGAGGCAAAGAAGAGAATAAGTGATTTAGAAGACAATATTATAGAAAAAGAGGAAGCTGAGAAAAAAGAGGTAAACTGATCCAGGAACATGAAAGGAGAATTTGAAAGCTGAGAGATGCAATCAAATGGAACAATATCCATATCATAGGAATTCCAGAAGAGAAAGAGAAAGGGAAAGGTGCTGAAGGAGTCCTTGAACAAATTATAGCTGAGAAAATCCTCAATCTGGGGAAGGAAACAGACATTGAAACCCAAGAGGCACAGAGAACTTCCCTGTGACGTAACATGAATCAATCTTCTGCATGACATATCATAGTGAAACTGGCAAAATAAAAGGACAAAGAGAATTCTGAAAGCATCTAGGGAGAAAAGGGCCTTAACATACAAAGGGAAACCTATCAGAGTGGTTACAAACCTATCTACTGAAACTTGGCAGGCCAGAAAGGAATAGCAGGAAATCTTCAATGTGATGAACAGAAAAAATATGCATCCAAGGATCCTCTATCCAGCAAGCCTGTCATTCAGAATAGAAGGAGAGATAAAAGTCTTTCCAAATAAACAAAAATTGAAAGAATTCGTCACTACTAAACCAGCCCCACAAGAAATCCTGAGGGGGAATCTCTGAGGGAAATGTTGCAAGGAACGCAAGATACCAGAGACACCACCACAAGCATGAATCCTATAAGGAACACAATGACTCTAAATCCTTATTTTTCAATAATAGCATTGAATGTAAATGGACTAAATGCTCCAGTCAACAGACATAGGGTAGCAGAATGGATAAAAAACCCCAAAATCCATCTATTTGCTGTCTACAAGAAACACATTTTAGACTGGAAGATACCTTCAGATTAAAAGTAAGGGGATGGAGAAATATCTATCATGCTACTAGAAGTCAGAAGAAAGCTGGAGTAGCTATACTTATATCAGACAAACTGAACTTTAAAGTAAAGGCAGTAAAAAGGGATGAAGAAGGGCATTATATAATAATTACAGGGTCTATCCATTAGGAAGAGCTAACAATTATAAATGTCTACGCACCAAATACGGAAGCACCCAAATACATAAGACAATTAATCACAAATATGGACAAGAATGTGCTAATAGCAGGGGACTTTAATACTCCACTTACAGCAATGGATAGATCAACTAGACAGAAAATCA